CCTTTTATTATTATTCTTATCTCATGATCTAACAGAGGTCAAGAATTTCTTGGTTCAAAATGAGTACAGGGCCAGCAAGGTGGGTGTGTGTGTATGTCGGGGGTGGGCGGCCAGATTGCAATCTTTTCTCTTCTGTTCTCCTTTTGGGGATTTGGGCACGCACAGCTAGTATATTTTCCAAGCTGCTGATTTATAATTTCAACCACACAGTCAGCCATGTGAGATTTAGCTGCTTTAACCACCATGCTCTCCATAGAGAGTCTGGTTTCTCAGATAATCATAATGGGGCCCAGTCTCTTGGAGGTTGATTGTCTAAAAGGCCTTTCACTTCTAAAAGCCATTTGCTCCAAGAACCTGTCAACACAATTCATTAGATGTTAATAGAATATTTTCCTCCCAGTCCTAGGACCTCGCATGTTAATGAAATCTTTTTTTTTTTAAAGAATTATTTAATTTGATTTTATTATTTTAAAATTTGATCAGAGAGAGACAGAAAGAGGGAAAGTGAGAAAGCAAACCACCAGGTCTGGGACTCAAACCATGCTTGGCCATGTGGGAGTCCAGTACCTTAACCCCCAAGCCACTTGCCAACCCCTTAAGTTTGTTGACTCTTACTGGCAAGTGACATTTGAGCCATAAAAGTCCACCTTGCCTTTGAACCTCTCTGTGATCAAGGTGTGTTTTGGTTTATTTTCCTGTCAGTATTGATTTCCTGAACTCTTATTTTTCAGATGGAAGTATGGCATTCTGCTTCTTTAAATACATTTGAGGGAGTGTGTGAAACTTACTAACAGATCCACAGACCTCTTCTAAGCAAAGATTGTTATCCCCAGCTGTTATTTTTATATCTACAGTTTACAAATACTTACTGATCCCTGCTCCAACTTTTTGTCTGAATCTGTACTTGGCACTGGAGCCACTATAATGGGTAAAACGTAAGTCTCTGCTTTCGAGGTACTCATATCATGTTGGGAAGACACACATACAAATAGATCTTGATGGTGCTACATGGTAGGGATACACATGGTAATACGGAAGCAGTGACTAGGGGATCTTGTAGGGGAATTAGGTAAGGTTGCTGAAAAATGCTAAAGCAGACACTTGAAGGACTCAAGATTTTGTGGCTTTTTGACATTACTATAATTTCTGTGCGATTAGCATTTTGTCTCTATGCTCTCATTGGGTAATAAAACATAAGTTTGAATACATTCAGGCATTCAGTAAGTACTGCCTAATTTAAAAAATAACTTAAAATATCTCTGTCTTTATATGAAATGCTTTTTCTTTGCTTAGTACTGTCTTGATTATTCTACAAAAAACAAAGCTTAACAAGAAGAGATTGACTTTTCTTTAGGCTGAGGAACTATGTTGTTCATCACCAGCAACTTCTTTGAATTGAAGCTTCATCAATTGCTTTGTCATGCTATTTATATCTTTTTCAGAGTATCATATATTCCACTGCAGAAAAATATGTACCATATACATTTAAACCACATTTAGGTATTCTTTCTTTCAACATAAATTTATATTGTTGATTTTCCCCTTGTCTGTGTATTACTGTTAGAAGAATAAGCAGAGAGAAAAGGTAGGGAACATACTTTGCAAGGATGTTTTAGCATTTTCTTATTCAGCTCTGGTTCTCTGAACAGACACATTCAGAATAGTTTACTAATTCTTTGAGAGAATAAATAGATATTTATCCCACTAAGAGTCTTCTTTGCTATAAGGTTTTAAAGGTGTGATAGGTTATTTTCAATCCAAAATTATTTGAGATCAGAGGATAGAAGATTTTTGGGATACTGGCCAGCAGCTACCTAGGGCTACATGGTAAGCATCATGAACTTCTATAGATTCCTGAAATGGAGAATACAGGCCCATCTGGGAACTGGGGAGAAACAACTGGGAAGATAAGGACCTTTGTTCACCAGGTGGCTCAACAGTAGACCAAATTGGTGTGAGCCATCTCTACACATACCACATACTACAAAATAGAGGAAATAGAAATGATTTTACTGATATTTTTCCATGTTTCCTCTCACATAAGCTTCTACCTCTGTTGGGCCCCCATACTACTTGGTTTCTATGAGGTTGTGAGGAAAATCATGTCATATTTTTTTCTTTTTCTTTTTTTTTTTTGTTATCCGGCACGTGCACTTGCCAGACAGACAGAGAGAGACAGAAAGCGAGAAATCACCCCCCAGGGGGGATGACCAGGCTGCAATCCCTTCTCCTCCTTTCTCCTCTCAGGATCTTGGGCACGCACGCACACGTGCCCAGCATGAGTTTAAACCACCAGGTCCAGGGTGCGAACTGTGGTCGACTACATGGGAGTCCAAGGAGATAGCCATTACGCTAACTGCTGGTCCCGATGTCATATTTTTCTATGCAAAAATGCATCATGACTTTCCTGGACCCAATATTTCCATTTTACTTTTCTAAGTAGCTGCATATAGATCTGAATTCTCCTACCCATCAGAAGGTAAGCCCTTAAAGGTGAAGACGTGTATTAAAAATACATTTAATTCAGTACTTTTTTGGGGGTTAAATAAATACAAGAAAGACTATTACCGACAGGTATGCCACTGGTGACTTTTATTTTATTAGCTCTGAAGAAAATTTAAGAGAAAAGGCAAAGCAGGTTTACAGAGGGAAATAATACTTATCACAGAGCTGGAAAAAACATCTAATATTTAGTGAGATTTTGGAGAAGAGTTCTAAATACTCAGGATGGGAGTCAGGTTAGAAGAGACTGAGTGAGGGAACCAACAGTTAGCGTAATGTCTATGTCACTGGACTCCTATATAGTTGACCACGGTTCGCGTCCCGGACCCGGTGGCTTAAAACTCACGCTGGGCGCGTGTGCGTGCGTGCCCAAGATCCCAAGAGGAGAATGGAGGAGAAGGGATTGCAGCGTGACCATCCCCCCTGGGGGGTGATTTTTCGCTTTCTGTCTCTATGTCTCTTTCTGTCTGTCTGGCGAGCACACGCGCCCTATAGCGAAAAAAAATCTCTCCAATTAAAAGAAAAAGAAAAAAAAGAAGAGACTGAGTGTGTATGAATGGTATGAATGTAGGTGAAGGAAGGGAGCTGTATTCTTAGAGTTTGATGCTCTTTTCTGCTTTTAGTGGTCTGATCAGAATCATTTTAGTAATGGGCACTAGAATCAATATTTCTTAACCAAGTAAGTAAAATATCATGTTTGATCTTAATTATAGGACTAGTCCTAGAAGAGATTACAAAGGGTATCTAGTGAGACTAACTGCTTCCTGGGCTAAGAAGCTAAAGTCCTGTGCCTTTAGGAGTCTAAGCTGAAACCATTCCAAGTTGGTTTTAAGATAAGGGTATTTACAGCTAATACTGTGAAACTGTTACATTTTACTTCATTCGAGTATCACTCTATACTTGTAATTTTCATTTATCCAAAAATGATGTGGTAGAGAATAGAAATCCTGAATAGAATGAAAAAAAGAGAGAATAGAGAGGGTGGGAAGAAGTGAGAGAGAAGAGAGATTTTTCAGGAGGGGAAAAGAAGAAGGCAAATATACAAGAAAAAAATGCAATAGAAAAATCACAGGTGTTCAGAGAAACATTACCTTTTATTCAAAAGAAACTACAGTTGCATTTTGAATATACAAATAAGTCGTAGTTCAAATTTAATAGGTGTAAGGGAGGTTTATCTGAGGAAGCGTGATAAGGCTAGTCATGATTTATAGGGTCCTTGGGAAAAACACGATACATTTTTGCATAGAAAAACATAGAAAAATACGTTGTGACTTTAGACAACCCAATAGTAAGTCACTGAGCTAAAAGGCTATTTGAACAGTAGCATGGTATCTTTTTTTTTTTCGGAGAGGTTTTCCCTATAGGGTGTGTGCGCTCGCCAGACAGACAGAGAGAGACAGAGAGATAGAAAGCGAGAAATCACCCCCCAGGGGGCATGGCCACGCCACAATCCCTTCTCCTCCATTCTCCTTTTGGGATCTTGGGCATGCACGCACACACGCCCGGCTTGACTTTAAGCTGCCAGGTCCGGGTCTCGAACCGTGGTCGACTACATGGGAGTCCAGCGACATAGCTATTACGCTAACTGCTGGTCCCGCATGGTATCATTTTTGAAACAGTCTAGTTGATTCCCTTAGGTAAGTAAGTCTACTTAAGGGGATGAGAGATTTTTTAAAAATGTTTAAGTCATACTACATGAAAGGTTTTCAAAAATCTAGAGTTGATTATAAAAGTGTTACTGATGAAGTCCCAGAGACTCAATAACAGAGTCATTATGACTCCTATGAATGCACACAAAGAATTAGCCATTTTGTAGTGAAAGCTCTGCCTACATTGACCATTAATGCATTAGTTAAAGTGATTTCTATCATAAAAGTGATGCTAAAGAGTTTGTGGCCAGTAGCACTAATAGTATCTTTAGTAAAGAAGATGCCTTATTATCATAAACTAGAGAATCTGATTCAGGCATGGGCATTCATTGCATTTACAACACTTATTTTAAATGGTAAGTTAAAACCATCTCTTCAACTTTAACACAAACTTAATTAGTTAACTAATTAACAAATTATGATGGGGGAATTTCTGACTTGGCTAATTAATTGAACAGATTCATGTTTGAAAGTTAGTTTTCAAATCTGGGCATATCATTTTCAATAACTTCTGTGGCTATTCCATTGAATAATAGGAGCTGGGAACTTTGTTCCCCAACCATCACTGCTTCTTGTTTCACTGTTTTCTTTCTCACTGTGATTTTGTGCCACAAGTGATAGTACCTAAATCATTTGAGTTACTAGAGTTATCCTCCTAAGAACAAAGAAAATGTGTGGTGATGTATGTTGGTGAATATATAAGATAGACAGTTTTAGCTCAAAGCAAAACTGGATATAAAGTTTCTATTTTTTTGGGTTTGCCCTCTTTTTGCATCTTGCCATATTTTCTATCCATTCCCTCTCCATTTCCCATACAAGAAGGACTTCTGCATTAAGTGTTATCAATTTTTATGTATTTGTTGGTATATGAGCCAATCTTAAAGAGCCTTTGGAGTCATCTGTGTGCATTGTGGAAATGGCTATATTTTCATATCTTTCCTGAGGTGCAAAACACCAGCAGTGGTGAATAAGCACCACCAGGTCTTTCTGGAAATTTTTGTTGAGAAAGCCATAAAAGAGTGGATTTATACATGTAGAAACCATAGCAACCAAGTGGCAAATTACAAATACCAGGTCATGGTGGCAGCTCATTAGTAACTCATGATACCAGTCAAAGATGACATTGAAGATGTTCAGGGGCAGCCAGCAAGCTCCAAAGGTCACCACGATGGAGATCAACATTGTGTTGATCCTCTTGTTCTCACTGAGCCGGCTTTCATTTTCCCTCTTCCTGTTTACTTTTCTATTTCTCTTGCGGAGGCAGATGACAATTTTCAGGTAGCAAATGAGGATGAAACCCAGAGGGACAAAATACTGGAGCATAAACAGAGAGGTGGTAAAGAGGAGCTGGTTCATTTTGGAGGGCCAGTTCTCTACACAGGCCAGCCGGTGGGTATAAAGGTCAGTGGGGAGAGAGAGGTTATGGAAGGGCTCATTGGTGAGGTGGTAGGACAGGAAGAAGGGAATAGACAACAGAAGAGAAAACAGCCAAATCAATGTGATACCCCAGTAGGCGTTTGATATACTGGGCTTCCAGCCACGGGGGTTCACAATCAGCTGATATCTTTCAATGGCAATTAATACAAGTGAGAAAATGGACACAGAGATAGAGACACTCTGCACATAAGACGTGAGTTTGCACATGGTATCCCCAAATATCCAGTGATCCATCAGAATGTAGGTGACAGTGAATGGGATGCACATGACACATACCAAAATGTCAGAGAGGGAGAGATTAGCAATCAGTATGTTGGTGACATTCTGAGTTTCTCTCTGCTTTTTAAAGATGATGATGATGAGAGAAAGGTTTCCAAAAAGGCCCACAATTAAGACCACAGTGTAGGCTATGAAAAATAGGAGTAAGGCAAGAGAAGGGGGTTGACAGGATTCAAAGTAGAAAAATGCAGAGTCATTGCTATTTATGCTGGTTTTATTAGATGTTGAATGATTTGGTGGAACTTCCATTTCGTCAAGATTGTAAGAAGAGATTTCTAAGCTTACTTGTGTTTTGGATGGATAATTTGGCCATTAGTTCTTGGGACGCAATTTGTTTTGAAGCCTTCAGTGAGTAATTAGTAGAGTTTAATCTTCCATGATCTCTGTCGGTGTTTGGTGGAAACACATGAATAACTTGAGCATCTCCTTGAGACCCTAAAACATAAAATAAAACCCGGAGTATTAATGCATGTTCTTTTTTAAAAGAATTATTTAATTTAATTTACTTGTTATTATTATTATTATTATTATTTTTTGACCAGAGAAAGACAGAGACAGAGGGAAAGTGAGAAAGCAAGTCACCATGTCTGAGACTCAAACCATGGTTGGCCATGTGGAAGTCCAACACCTTAATTGCCACACCACCTACTGACCCAATGCATGTTTTTAACAACATGAATTATTTTAAAGGAAGAATAACGTTTCTAAGATTACATAAGCAAATATACAGAGGATATCTGTACATGTTAACTCTCCCATCATCTCAGGGTGATTTATTTATCCCTTAGCAGTCTTTTGAACTAGTGAGAAAGGGAAAATGACATTGTGTAAAGCAACCCAAATGCATATTTCCATCCCCATCAACTTCTTTTGTGTGTGTGTGTGTGTGTGTGTGTGTGTTGGGTGAGTCACCTGGATATGTACTGACCTGCTCCAATGGACTATAAAAGTAATAAGGATAGGGATTGTGCTGTAGTGGTAAGAGTACTGTATTTGGAGTTGAGTTCTGCTATAGTTTTCATATTTGTGTTCCTTCCAAAATTTACATTTAAACTTAATTCTCAATGTAACAGGATTAAGAGATGTGGCCTTTAGGAGGTGATTAGGCCATGAGAGCTATACCCTCATGAATGGATTCATACCTTTTAAAATAGTTTTAAGGGGTGCGTTCCACTACTCGACCATGTGAGGACACAGCATTCCTTCCCTCCAGAAGATGGAGCAATAAGGCACCATCTTGGAAGCAGAGACCAGCCCACTGAACATGCTGGCATCTTGATGTTAGACCTTCTAGCCTTCAGAATTGTAAAATTAGATTTTCATTGTTTATAAATTACCTAGGCTATAGCAGCACAAATAGACTAAGTCAGGTTCCAATTGAAGGCTCTCTACTTGGTTTTTGTATGACAGTGACATGATTCAATTAACCTTCTTTCTGTTTTCTTATTTGTAAAATAAGAATATATACTATCTATCTGTTTGAGTAGTGGAATTAAATGAAATCATGCAACAGAGTTTGTCCCTCAAGCCCAGTGTGGAACACATTATAAGTACTCAGTAATGTGTGTTGAATGAAACTTGTCTGCTCCACTATCTGGAACTGGTCCATAGCTTTTAGTCTAGGGGTGGAATCACAGGACACATCTGCTATGGAATAGTATGTGTCTTCTATGTCTTCTCCTCTGTTCATTTCCATTCTTTGAGACTAAAGCCATACTCCATATAGGCAGTTTCTGGGTACACTGCTCAGCTTGTGGGGTCAAGACAAGGTAGTCAGTGTCTAGTGAGCTGTTGTTTAGAAAGTATTTCTCCAACTTGAGCCTGGTCTGGCCAGGCTTTAGGATCAGTCTGCGCTTGAGGCCTGGGAACAACTTTGAAACTTTTGGACTTTGTCAGGGGTCTTGAGTCTGGTCTGGGCAGGCTTTATGGTGAGTCCATGCTAGGGCTCTGGGAACAATTTTGAAACTTTTGGACTTCGTTGCCCACCATTCCAGCAGCCTGGCTTTGCCTTGCCCACCTGCTGGAGTCTTGAGCCCGGTCTGGGCAGGCTTTAGGGTGAGTCCCCACTTTGGACCTGAAAGCAACTTTGGAACTTTTGGTATACCAACCTGCACTCTATGCTTTATGCAGCATGCAACTTGATCCTCTTCATGAAGTTATATCTCCTTTTGCTACTACCTCATCAAGAATTGAATGTTTGGTAGAGGAGCCAAATATCTCAAGTTATCTGTAACTACTCTGTCCTGGGAGACAGAGCCCTCCAACAGGGATCCACCTGGGAACTAAGGCTGAGATTTTCTCTACCAGCACTACAGAATCTAATCCAATAAATAGAAAAAAGTGAATATTGCATTAGATGACTAGAAACCAGCACAGATCCCGAGGAAATATGAGAAAACAAGGTTGTTGCTCTTCCCCAGGTGAGCATAGAAACCCCTCACCAACAGTGGACAGCACAGAGAAATACACAGAAATGTCAGAAAAAGAATTTAGAATATTCATAGTGACAAAACTCAATGAGATGCAAGAGAAAACAATCAGTCCCAGGAAATTAGGACATGAAAGAAGAATTTAATAAAGAAATAGACACCCGCTTTTCACTCAGTTGTTCTACCGTGGAGGGCCGTAGGCGGCCATGGTGCCTAGCTGAAATGGCATGATCCTGAAGCCACACTTCCACAAGGACTGACAGTGGTGCGTGGCCACCTGGTTCAACCAGCTGGCACAGAAGATCTGCAGGTACCAAAGCACGTTGCATGACTCTGCGCCAGCATCCAACCTGATCCTGACCATCATGAGGTACCCCCACAGTGTGGTACCACACTTGAGTACGCCCGCACAGGCTTCAGCCTGGAGGAGCTGTGGGTGATTTGCATCCACAAGAATGTGGTGTGGACCATTGGCATCTCCGTGGACCTGGGGCAGCCAAACAAGTCCACAGAGTCTTTGCAGGCTAATGTGCAGCAGCTGAAGGAGTATCACTTCAAGCTTATCTTCTTTCCCAGTAAGCCCTTGGCCCCCAAGAAGGGAGACAGCTCTGCTGAAGAATGCAAGTTGGCTGCCCAGCTGACAAGACCAGTGATGCCCATATGGAACATCTACAAGAAGGAGAAAGAAGAAAGGAGGAGAAGAACTTCCAGGCCTTTGCTAGTTTTAGCACAGCCTGTGCTAATGCCTGGCTCTTTGGCATCCAGGCAAAAAGGGGCAAGGAAGCTGCAAAACAGGATGTTGAAAAGAAAAAACTATATATGTTGGGGACTTAATAAAGAAGACCATGGACCTGGAAAAAAAAAAAAAAAAGAAATAGACAACCTGAAAAATAACCAAACAGAATTCTGGAAATAAAGAATACAATACAAAAAAAAATCTCCCAGAAAGCATTGACAGCAGATTGGACTGTGTAGAAGAAAGAATTTCTGACCTCGAAGACAAAGTCTCCAGTATAGACCAAATCACCAAAAAGAAAGAAAAGACAACAATAACAACAACAAAATGAGGACACCATATGGGAAATTCTAGACGCCATGAAACACCCAAACATCCATATAAAGGGTATTCCAGAAGGTGAAGAATCTGCTAAAGGCATAGAAAACCTCTTTCATGAAATCCTATCTGAAAATTTCCTTAATATACAGAAACATGGAGAAATTCAGATTCAGGAAATAAAAAGGGCCCTCAACAGAATCAACACAAAAAGATTCTCCCCCTGGCACATCATAGCCAGATTGGTAAAAATTAAAGACAAAGACGATATTCTAAAAATGGCAAGGGAGTAATGTCAAATTATTTATAAAGGCTATCTGATTAGGCTAATGTCAGACCACCCAACTGAAACAATGCAGGCAAGGAAGGAATGGAAAGATGTATTCAAAAAATTAAAAGGAAAGCAATTTCAATCAAGAATACTATATCCAGCAAGATTACCCTTCAAATGGGAAGAACAAATAAAAGTATTCTCAGATAAACAAAAACTGAAAAAACACCAATAACAGACGAGCTCTACAGGAAGTATTGAAGGAAGTGTTGTATCAGGATAACTAAAGAGAGACAAACAGAAATAGGAGAACAAAAAAAATGGCTAACCAAATGACAGGGATAAATCTGAAAATAACAATAATAATGTTGAATGTTAACAGATTAAATTCTCCCATTAAAAGACACAGACTGGCTGAATGAATACAAAAACAGAAGCCATCATTATGCTTCTTACAAGAAACACACCTCACCGATAAGAATATACATAGACTGAAAGTGAAAGGCTGGGAAAAAAATACTCCATGTGAATGGAAACCAAATAAAGGATGGAGTAGCAATACTGGTATCAGACAAAATAGACTTCAAGATCCAACATGTAAGAAAAAACAAAGAAGGACATTATATAGTACTAAAAGGACTTGTTCACCAAGAAAGTATAACACTTGTAAATATCTATGCACCCAACACTGGAGCACCTAAAAGCATCAAAGAGAGACTGTTGGATTTCAAGGGAGAGATAGACTGCAACACAATGATTGTAAGGGATCTCAACACCCCACTTACTCCGCTGGACAGATCATGTAGACAAAAAATAAAAGAGATATAAGATCTCTCTGGACTTGACATTTATAGAGTATTTCACCCAACTACCACAAAATATACATTTTTTTCTACCCCCACATGGAACATTTTTTAATATTGACCACATGATAGGGCATAAAACAAGCCTTTACAAATTCAAAGATACAGAAATATTATCTAGCATCTTGATCACAATGGAATCAGACTCAAAATCAACTACAGAAAGAGCCCTTGAAAATTCACAAACACATTGGAACCAAACAACCTACTTCTAAATGACTTCATGACTAAAGAAGAAATTAAGATTTAAATCAAAAGATTCATAGAAACCAATAATAATGAACAAACAAATGTTTATAACCTATGGGACACAGCAAAAGAAATTATAAGAGGGAAGTTCATAGCAATTAGTGCCCACAAGAAAAAAGAAGAATGATGGCAAATAAATAACCTAACAATACAATTCAAGGAAATGGAAAAACAACAACAAACTCCAAAAAATTCCAGGAGAAAAGAAATAATAAAAATTTGAGTAGAAATGGAGAATGAAAGAACTATACATAAAATAAATGAAACCAAAAGCTGGTTCTTTGAGAAGATAAACAAAACTGGCATACCATTAGCTAGATTAATCAAGAAGAACAGAAAAAGAAACCAGATAAATCAAATCAGCAACGAAACAGGCAATAATCATGAGGAACCAACTGACATAATAGAAATACAAAATATCATTGGAGCTTACTATGAGTGACAATATGCCAACAAAAAATAAAACCTTGATGAGCTGGACAAATTTCTGGACATGTACAATTTACCAAGATTGAACCAGGAAGAAATAGAAAGTTTTAATATATCCATAACAAGCAATG